CAATTAAATATCGTCCGCCACAAAAGATCTCATAAAAAAAAATATATATTATTATTTTTATTTTTTTGGTGGTCTAATGGATAGTGAGGTGGGCTGACGATCGGAAGGTTGCGAGTTCAAACCCTGCCTGGAACACCATTACTAGTGTGCCCTTGAGTAAGGCACTTAGCCCTCGGTTACTCCAGGGAGAATGTCCCTGTAATCAGTCATTGTAAATTGCTTTGGAATAAGGCATCTGCTAAATGCCAAAATTGTAAATTATATTTTTGGGAGAATAAACCCCACAGATCCTCAGTTTCACTCATTAGCAACGCAACACAGAGCAACAAGAACGTTGTCTACAGTAGCCATGAACTTGCATGTGTGATCTTATTTGAGGGGGGGGGTGGATGCGTGGACCACCCGAATAGGTTAAGGGGCCTTTGACTTTCCTTGCCGGGGGGGTAATAGAATCAAATTCTCTGGGAAACACTGTACTCACAACATGGTAGGGCTGACAAGAGTTATGATTTGCAAATATTGGAACCTCTAACGACTTTCAAGCAGCACAAATATATCTTGGCGCTGCACTGATGAGTTTGAAGTCATAATGAGCCTATTCCTCTTCAAATACAGCGAACAACAAACCAGACCCGGCTCCACTCTTTGCTTTGGCCAGTGCAAACACAGGTGAGCGAGGCAGATAATGTGATTTACAACATTTAGTGTTCATCTACTGGAAGCATCATTTGTCAGCATCATCTGCTCTGTGTATCCTACAAACACAGGCTGTGGATAAGCACTCGTATCTCTGTGCTCAAATTAGCAAACACTAAAATCTGACATCTATGATTTATGCATCAACCGGAAACTGTATGTCCACTTTTCTCCTTTTAGACAAATATATTTAATTAAGCTTTATTGTTTGTAAGGAAGCAGGATCAAAGATAGCAAATCCAGCATATGCCATGCTACTCTTTTTAAGAAACCAAGACCCCAAGTGGATAAATAAGAATATCAGAGTTAATAGAACATTCTTTATTAAGGGGCAAGTCACTTTCCCTGAATGTCTACACTTTGTCCAATTCCTCCATTTGACCCCCCATTCTGTATGTTTGATGTCTTTATTCTTTGATTTGGGTTTGTTGGGG